TGGGGCTCCTTCAGACACATATGGAGGTCATTTGTTCAAATTCTTCAGCAGAGAGAGAAATAGGAGGAGGGGGCAATAGCCTTGGGACTTTGGGGTTTGGAAATCAGTTCGAGAGGTTGGGAGTGACTGGGGGGACAAGGAATGGGGGTTTCTTAGAGAAATGCCTTTTAAAGAACTTAAAGTAACATGATAGTGTAGTAAGGAGATTTCGTGGAAGTCCCTACAAGATTGAAACATCTAGTAGAAAACAATACAAGAAGTCTAAAGCCCCACTAGTAGAGCTTTGTTGATGAGCACACAAAATAATTTAAAGATTCAACAACAAAGTTTGACTCTACTCTTGAACTGCAGTTTGTCCTCAGGATGTCACTAGGTCAAAGGTTATTAGTGATACAACCACATCTACAAGAGATCTTTCCCTGAAGTGTTCAGCAAATGTCATGACAATACTCCCTTTACATAGTGCAAAGAAACATTGTCCAAAGCCAATTCATAAGCATTTCTCCTCTGGGAACCATGATTAGTAACAATACGTTATAATTATAGAAATCTAAAAAATCTAAAATGTCACCCGATCATTGAGCTAGTGAAAAGCTCCTGGGGTTCTAAACTCAGCATTGGATACCTTGTTTTATATTAAGCTCCGTCAGGGCAAAGGTCGGGCTGACATTAGGAACGCTGCCATGAATTTTCAGAACTACATTTATAGCAGTTATTGTTTAGCTTATCTTGAAAAACGTCAGCCTGATAACCCTAAGGTGCTGGTGATAAGGGCCTATATTTCTGGGTATAGCAGAATCTCAGTATAATGGATATCAGTGTCAAGACTTCCTTTTCCGTTCCCCGGTCAATTGTTTACAGTACGATTTGCAACTTGAGATGCCATACTGGAGTTGAAATATGACGTCTAAGAACGGATGGTTTCACAAGCAGTTAGTTTAGCCAAAGAGTCCAGAGATTACATTTTGGCCAAGGCGTTCCACCTCTTTTCCTCTCAACACCAGCTCTAACTAAATTCTTCTTGGAACGCAAACAGAAACCAGAACACTTTTGATTGCTAAATAAGTGATTCCTCATACGTATGCATTGTTTTCCAGACGTTGAGTAATTGTGATTGACCAATACACTGGCAGATGTCATCGTTGTTAGACCCCAACTTGTACCAAGCAATAAAAGAATATGAAAAAGGAATGGTTTTGATTTTTAGCCCTGCATCCTCGGGAGACTTCGATGGCAACATTTCAAGGGAGTTTGTTCACATGACATGCATGGCTGAAATGTTGATCTAGAACTGGAAAAGCTCCAGGATAAAGTTAAACTATCAACAAATTGTTGCAAACCCTAATCACACTCGACCCGCTGTGTACATTAAACTGTTTCGGGCTCAGACCCCCGATCAGTGTAGCCCTGTCTCCACGTCAGCTATAAGAAAAGTTATGATGGCAGAGATTGGGCCTCCCTCTTGATGTTTACATTCTCCAGACACAGGGGAGGATGAGGAGAGAAAGAGGGAAAGAGAGAATCAGAGAGAGAATTACTTACAGATGCAGCACTGCAACCCAAGGTCTGAGAGCTTCTGGGCATGGAAACACAATGTATTATGTCTAATATCATGATTTAGAGTGTTTTTTATGAAGGGCGTTTGCGTGTATTGTGTGTTGATGACTGAGGGGCAGATAAAGGAGACTTACATAACATGTTTAACGCCTGCTGTCTTCACTCTGCTTTGGTTACAATCCACTCAAACAGAACATTTACAAGCCATGAATGTACTTATAAACAACTTGTGAAGAGGGATGTCGAGCATTTTTGTGTTTTTTTAAGTGTTTCAGGCTGTTAGTGATAGTCCTAGATGCTGATTATGTGCCATGAGCCAAGTAAAGAAAAACTCTCAGAAAGTCCAAAATCTTGGCACGGCTCAAGAGCCAGGGTCTCCCAGGGAGCCAGCCATCATCATGGTGTTCTGTGAAGAAGAAAAACAAGCCCAGTGGAGCTGTAATGAGGTCACTTATCAGCCTGGGCATTTGGGGGGTGTGCCTCGCTTCCGCTCAGCATCCCTCCATCTGTCAGGGAGAGGACAAATGACCTCAACGACGACTGCCAATAATGTCATGTGGCGTCAGACTCTTACGACAGGCTTCAAGTTGACTGAAGGAGCAGACAACAGGCCAAACTTTCTAAAGTACAGCCTTTCTAGAAGAATGACCCCGGTCAGATTTGTTTTTGTTTGCTTCAAACTCCTCTTGGGGTTTTACAAAAAATTATCATTGCTGAAAACCACCAAGTAACAACAGCAACTACAAAAAAGCTTTTACGTTGTAAAGCAACAGCTAAAAAAATACACAAAAGCAGGCTAATGTGTATGTGTGATTAGAAAATACATCCGTTAGTAATTACAGTGGTAACAGTTGCAACAATCTTTGTGAGGAAGGGGATGGTGGTTTAATTATGGTTCTTGTTCATTTACCTTTGTGAGGACCAAGAAATGCTGGTTAGTCCTTACTTGAGAGAGGCGGTTAGGGTAAGTGTTAGGGTTAAGCATTTAGTTGTGGTGGTTATGGTTTGAGTTAAGGTTAGAGGGCTTTGGAAAGAATTATGTCAGCAGTTGGGGTTGCCACCCAAAGGAACTACTTTTATAGGAAGCAAAAGATGCCTTCAGCCCAATGATGTCAATGTGTCCACCGCAATCTCAACGATTCATGTTAAATTATCGCAGACACATGAAAAAACGATGGATGTTTTACACAAAAGTTTTGAGATCAAGTACTGGAAAACCGGGACCTCTCACATCTTGGAAATGTCACAGGACAGGACATTCCAAACATGCATTATTTAGATAAACTGACCACATATCGGGAATCTAAATGGTTACCTTTTTGGATGAAAACATATTTAAACTTTACAAAGTCACATATTAACAGCTTTTAGCCTGGCTCAAAATCTCACATGACTGAAGGCACTAATTTCAAGGGGTAAAATAATGTCCCCGGAACTCAATTTAGTTTCCTGCGGTTGAAATGCAAAACGGTCCTCAAAAGATCTCTGGTTCGGCAAAACTTCCTGTGGTTGAAAAAGGGCTAGGATAAGATAGGAAGAATGAGAAGTGTGCTGTGTTTGTATGTGTTTAGGGGGTAAACAAGAAATAAAATCATCACAACCACAACAGTGCTACAGAGCTAATAAAGAGAATTTGGAAATCACAGAGTAATTACTTCACCAATAATAGGGGTTAAACTGTGGTGGGAAAACACAACAACAGTTTTGTCTCTCCAAACCACATGAAAAGGCTTCCATTATCAGAATGTTAAGAGCTACTGATCAAGAAAGACTTTGAATCCAAACAAGATAAGTTAAAAGAAAATCAAGACTGTTCCATAGTTGGTCTGGTGAATAATAAAGATATACTAAGCATACAGCCTCTATCATTTCCAATTACAACTGAAGACATCTTTGAGAAAATCTTGCACCATTGATGGTTTAATGGAGCAGGTCAGGGCTGGTTCACAAGGATAAACACAAGTTTTTGGCACTGGATGCGGACATTTGTTAAACAGAGAGAGCAACACTCATGGACTTATAAGCACTGCCATGTTTGGTAGCAAAGGAGTCTTTACACCTTCAGTAGATAATTTATATCAAACACGCTCCATGTTTGGTTTAGAGAAAGAACAAGGCTGAGAGAGATGGAAACTATGTACCCACAGGAAGTTAGCATAACAGCAGAAAAGCAGCACGCACCCTGTGGGTCTGGTGCTTTACCAAATTAAGAAACTGGAAATGTAATTTAGAAGTAGTCATAACAAAAGGAAACTGCTCCACAACAGTGCGTCAATCCAGGGTTGGTCATAACAAGACAAGCTAGTGGTTACTTGAAGAATGGCTCTGAACTAAATGCTAACATCATCCAGCATGCCTACATGCTCACAATGAAAGTGCTAACAGGTTGACATTTAACATGTGCAGCATTATCAACATCTGAGTTTAGGGATTTTGTATCATAGGCTGTTTATAAAAAGTAAATGTAGTCAACTGTTGTCATCCATTCATGTGTTCACTAGGCTTTTGAAGCGTCGGGTTTGGCATGTTGGCCATCGCCATCTTGGTTTTTGTGCGTCCATATTTTTGGAACCAGAAGTGACACAGGAGGGTGGAGCTAAGTACCACCATTCTATAGTTAAATACATTTCACTAAACCTAAAAGTTACAACCTCATAGTGTGTTACAGAAAATTCAGTGGCTCATTATGTTCATCCTCTCTAGGGACCATGAATGACTTTTATGGCAATCCGTTTAATAGTGGAGATGTTTCGGTATGGGATCAAAGTAGAGAAAAACTCAACTCTACCAGAGCACATGCACTCTGTAGGGTGTAGCCTTGTACCCAATCAAGCCATTAAAAAAAGTCATAGTCATAACACAAGGCAGCTGCTGCACACAATTATCACCCCTAGCATGGTCATAAATACAAAACACATTTTACAGCTTATTAAACTAATCAACTTTAATCTGGTCACCCTGCTTGATCCACAGTAAAATCAATCAGCTTAAAATACCATGTGAAAACTGTTCCAAAACCAGGCTCAAGATATGCTGACACAAGCAGTAACTTTACATGGTACAACCTGTAGATGGTCTTTATATATTTATATGGTTTATTTAGGTTTCATGTGGAGACAAAGCCATCTGCAGGGACAATACAATACACTATAGGCAAATTACATTACTTCTAAGCATTCTCATATGTGAATGTCCTTTGCCACTCTGGCATTCTTTTTGTGGGAGTCTATATTATTTCAGAGAGCCATTGGGGAGAGGGGTTAAAGCCAGGAATGTACACTATTTCCCCACAGGAAGCCGAGCATGGAAGTCTACTATTGCCCCACGCCCAGATCTCTCCATCGCACGCACAGTTGGCCCACTACTGCATCATAGTACAAAAGTCCGATTTAAACACAAACCATGTACGACAAAAAAGTGAAATAAACATTACAGTCCAATCCTTTTGAACTTTAGTATTTTATTAAAAGACATTTTATCTTTTATACGTCTTACAGTTTCATTGTACAAAATTTCACACAATACAAAAATATTGAAAGGCAATTTTTTTTATAAACATGTACTGAGCTATGTTTTTAAAAAAAAAACGTAATAGTCACAATGTGTCAACTTTACTGGATGAAATCCACCAAGCTTTGCCTCTATAAAGCAGCATGTTTTACATTTACACAGGTCTCGACACACAGGTCATAGTGGGCATTTATTCAAGAGATATTATTCATACTACAGTAATGTACAAGGTGGTAGCATGCAGAATGTTCTGATGCTGTATAAAGTGGATCTCAAGAAATTTTCTAAATTTGTCTCAGTAACGTAAAACCGAGTTAGAATGATGCTTTTAGTAAGTGGTTTAAAGTGTTTTTTTGCAAAGAATGTCATTAATGTCATGCAAACACATACTTACTTTAAAATGTAATGTAATGATTTGTGTCTATTATAATGCAGATCCTTATTACCAACCATAATTTATTACTTTAAAAGACTTGAGATTTCAAGCGGTTACAATGTGCCAAAAATGTTTTGCTTTATTGTGCTTTTACTCTGAAAAGCTAAGGTAAGTAACCACTTCACTAGGAAGCCCCTATAGTTACTCCAAGTCTATTTATGCCTGTGTAGCATACAGTTTATCACAGGGTTCCTCAGTGATGAATATAATTGCTCTGATTAGTAACAGTAAAGAACATGTACTGCATGTGATGCATTTTTTCCACAGTGTTACCGTCTCAATATGCATATGTCTGTTAGAGCCGGTGCCTGTTCTCTGACTGAAGGGAGGCACACTTGTAGGCTATTAACACTGAAATATTTAGACATGACATTAAGACACATTGGCAGGCTCAGAAAAAGACCTTACCCTAACACACAAGTAATGCAAGGAACTCTCACACACACAGACACAAACACACACGCATTCTCACCTAACACTTATGAGCACCCGCCTGGTACATATAACAGATAGGACTTTCATTAAATGGCTCAATGGGGGCTCGTCCTAGCCAGCAGAAAGAGGCCCACATCCAACACTTATGTGCACCTTCTAAGGAACACCACATTATGGACATAAATTCTTACAAAGCTTTCCAAAAGCTTCACTTCAGGTCAATCAAGTGGTACAAAAAACCAGTAAAGAGTCAAGCTGATATAGTGCTATAAATTCACATGTAATTAGGCCCCTCACGATAATTACGTTCCAGACTCATGGTAAAATATTGACCTGACCTTGATTATTTTTACGACGCATTTGAGGTATGGACATGACTTCATTAACTTTTCTACGGTGATCGTTTATGAAGTTATTGACCTATGGTACGAAACATGGACAAGACCTCGATCATTTTGAGGTTATCTATTAATGGTGATTTTTGGACATGACCGTGATCATTTTGCCTGTTGTGTTTACATGCTGTTGTTTACCTAATAATTGTACCAACATTTTAGCCTAAACTGATATCAGAATAAACTTTAGGGTTCTTCCTTCCCTTACATGTCTTCCAATGTACAGGTATGTACTTCCACAATGTGAATATTCTTAAGAATGATATGGTAATCTCTTGCAAAGGGTTTATTTGCATTGTCCTCCTATTATATTATCCTTTTCATTACCTCAGTGGAATAAAAGTCTTAAAATTACAATATCATTGTTGATCGCAGTCATTTCTGGACAATATATCGTCAAACAGAAGAAGTTATCGTAAGGGCCTACATACAATTCTTACGTTCGTAACAAAAACAACATCCTTCATAAAATCAAGGAATCTGTTTTTTCGTCATGATTTGTTTGTATTAGTCACATGGTGAGCGAGAGGCGGGAATATTAGTGTAGCTCCCATGCTGGATGCAGCTGAGGGTAGAAGGCAAAAGAAGCCAAACACAGCTTTGTTTACAGCTGCCGTTTCTCAGTTTAATTTCAGAGTTTTGTCCATGGAAAGGCTTCGACAGAGGAGAATCTTAAAAAATCTTCATAACAGAGGAGGTACAAATGTCTTTAGTCCTTTTTTTTTCACATTCAAATATCTGGTAAGACTGAGGAAAGAGAAGATTTCCGTTGAGAAAGCGACATTTGACATCCTCTGAGGTGTTTCAAGATTCCATGTGCTGCACTATCCATATTTCTGAGAGTTGGTTCTATCCAGTATCGGCCAGTGGCTGTAGCAGTGATTGAAACGGCACAGTACAGGGTTATGTAGAGTCAGTTTGCAGTCTTCTCTATGCCATGATGAGGTGGTTGCTCCGCTGACTGATGTCTGCTGGAGGAACAACATCTTTCTTCACTTGTGTTGGCAAGAGTGTAGAGCGTCTACCTTTGGGCTTGAACAAATCAGACACAAAGAACACCTGCGGAAGAAGAAAAAGAAAATAAGAAAATGTTACTCACAAAGGAGACACCTTCAAAATCGAACAAGATACACTTCTGAAATAAATCTTGTTCCTCTCTCTTTATTTTCCAATTTAATGCAACTTCCTTTAATTTATGGATACAATATGGGCTTCCTCAAGGTTCTGTATTAGCTCCCCTTCCGTTTCAGTGGGGTTAAATGTTATGAGGAAAAAAAATCTAATTGCGATTATTTTGACTAATATTGCAAATGCAATATGATTTACATAATTGAAGGGAGTGATTATTTTTGCAATATTCTTATTATTTATTAAAAAATATATCAAAAAGATCATGGTGTGATCTTTACCAGAAATAGATTTGTGGTTACTATTTGAGGGCCAGGACATACAGTATCTGCAGCACCATAACGCTATAATTATCAAGCCCCTTAGTTCACTCAACTATTTTTTTTTTTTTTTTAAATGCTCTTCTTTGTGTCTATAAAAAGATTTGCAACCTGTTTAAGAAAAGAGAATAATGATATTATCGTTTAATCGAAAGTAAGAAAAAAAACAGTATAAAGTGTATTTATAGTTGAGGCCACTGAAATATAAATGAATCAACAATTCTTAATGATTACATATCTCATCTAATATAGACGTTTACAGTATTACAACATAATAGAACCACTTACTATGCAGTAGGCCACGATTGCTCCCTGCACAAAACCAGCCAGCACATCAGTGGGGTGGTGCTTGTGATCAGACACACGGGACAGGCCGGTGTAGAAAGACATCATGATGAGGGTGAACTGGGTCAGAGGGCGCAGCAGGCGAGCTCCATGCCAAGAGAACCGAGACTGCAGGTAAAACTGTAAAAAGAGAGCATTTGTGATGTGATACTGATGACAATAATCTTTATAATCTAGGGAGGGAAATGGGTTTGTAATATATATAGTAAGAGAATGTGTGTGTGTACAATTGAATAACTTACCACCAGGTAAAGCATGGTGTACATGGAAAAGGATGCATGTCCAGAGAAGAAAGACTTCCTGAAAGAATAAAGGACAATCAGCATTGTAAGAAAACAGTTTAAAGCACGTTTCTATATATTGTTTCTCGCTTTATGATAATACCTGGCTTCCTGAACTTTGTTCTCTGGCCCCTGACACTGGTAGTCAGTGATGTAGCCCAGGGAGCAGTTGATGGTGGTGAAGTCAGGTTTGCACACATCGAGGAAATGAGGGCGCATGCGGCCCACCGACACTTTGGCGATGTCAGTGAATGACTGGCTGATGGCGCAGCCGAAGATGAACACGCCCACCTGCTTGTACAGAGCGGAGATGTAGGGGTTCCCCACAAAGGACTTGGATCCCTCGTTCAAAAAGTAGATCCTGTAGCTCTCACCGATGATGATCTGAAGGCACGGAAGAGATGTTGACGTCAGTTAATTTCATGATGTTAACACAATCCCATTGAAACCATTAATTCCAAAGCATTTCTATCATAACTACTGTGTTCTGTTTGAAAATGTGTCAGTGCAGAAGAGACAACTTTCTTTATGATGAATGGGAGAGCACTTTTAGATGATGTCGCTTGGACAGAAGGATTTGCTTGATCAGCTAAGTGTCATACTCATATTTCAAATGTAATGTAATGCAATTAAATCTTAAGAGTTTTTTCTCATTATCTGAATATATTTGAAGCCTATTAACTTTGTTCTTGTGAGATCTTGTGTCATACTTTTAGAAATACCCTGTTAACATTTGAACATTGTGCTTCTATAGAAATGAACATCAAAGTATGTGATTCGGCAAGGGTGGACATTTAGGAGCAGGTTGATGGTCAGAGTGGAGAGTTGTAATTAACATACGCGCCTTTTTTGGGTTAAGATGTTATTATGACAGCTAAAATAGAATTCATGACTTCTCCTGAAGTGGTTTGAGAAGTGCTACTTTCGAGTTGAACGTGTTTACCTGTACCATCCTACTTCTGAGAGAAAAACAGCGAGGCGACTTGGGAGGTGAATCTAACTGTCCGCCTTGTATAGTTTTCAGTAAGAGTAAATAAACCACCGTCTAAAACCGACGACTGACGTTTAAGGCGCACAAAGGGGGGGTGGGGGGTGGGGGGGTAGACAGCCTTAACCTGCAACAGCTGTTCAAACCCAAAAAACACTTTCCAACCCCCTCATCTCGTTGTCTTCCAACAGCTCCAAAATGAAAGTCTGGTAGAAGAGTCAGAACGAGAGTTTCGGGGAGTTTCATGGGGAAATCGGAATGACAGGAGGGGAGGACAGAAAGCTTTCAGAGTAGAGTAGAAAGGGAAATAAAATGGAAGGTGATTGGAGGAATGGGGGAGGCACTGCTGGTTCTAATCAGCAGAAGCTGAGCTAGGAGACGTGTCTGATTTTCGTGGCGGGACTCCACCAGGCGCACGTCGGGGACATGCTTGTTTTTCACCACTCCGGCTGCCTCTCTGAACTGGCTCCGGTTTCACACGGGATGTCTGGCTGTTTTCTGTTAGTATCTCCGTTTCATCAGACATTCTTACGAGGGGCGCAGAACTAAGTCTCATTCTGGGAAACACTCTGTGCCGAGGGATAGCCCCGACGGAGATTTAGCAAGCCGATAGAGTGTGTTGTTTTCCACCATTCAGGCCTTTAGAGCCAGCTCGATAAAGCCCAGCTGCTTTCATGGGAAAAGAGGGAAGGGGGAGAAAAACACATCTGGTTCCCCTTGTGAGAAAGAATTAACTATGTGAATGCATAAATGAATTGGCATTGTGGGATATAGAGCTGTTACTCTAAAACCTCAAGAGGTAATCATGGGTGCAAGATGCTGATTTGCGGCTTGTTTCAAATGTCTTGTGTTTCCAAAATGACACCATGGTGTTTTCATTTCTTCTGAAAAGATCTGCATAAATTATAAATGACTTGGCCTCTTGTGATTCTCAGCTCCATTCGGTGGGAAACAAAGCACTACATGACATAATGTTGGTGTTTTCTAGCCACAACACTCCAGGGGGTTTTGTGAGGGGAAAATTAGATAAGTCTTGTTTTGGACACTAACCACAATTACACCCAACCAATTACAGTATCTAACCAAACAACCATTGCGTCAACCATAATTACATGGGGCCAGAACTCGTTTTCACCATTAAAACCCCTGTGGCCCCAAGCCTGGTAGCAGTCTGCCCTTCAGGAGAGGGGGCACAACTGGCTATAGGGAAGGAGACGGGACATGTCAGGAGGCAAGGCACCTTCCCGTGGCACATCCTCCAGGGTCAACTGCACATGCTATGGCAAGTTTGGAGGAACATCAATTGGAAACTAAATTGTCCCTGAAGAATGTTCAAATGTGACTGCTGCTTAGTGCAGGTCCAAGGAATCTGGTTTTGCTGGCCTCTTGGCATAGTTAAGAAGATTACTTCTGAAATGTAATTACTGATTAGTTGCTATCCTGTGGAATACGAACCGAACATTCTAATGCCTTCATCAAAGTAAAGGAACTTTAACATTAGATTTGTTTTCAATTTGAAGCTTCTGTCCAACTTTCATTAAAAGCCAAAAGAACTTGAACTAAGATTGAAAAAGAGCAACAGTTGTACAGTCGTACTACATATACATTTTTTGTGTTTTTTATGTACTGTAACCTCTGTGTAACAACTAACATTTTAACTAGTAACTGAATTTAGTCACATATCTCTTCTCATTAACTTTAACAGATTTTACATGAGAGTAGATATTAACAAAACAACACACATTTGTAACTACCGCTAGGCGATAAGAAAACATTTTAATCACAGCATTTTTAACCAAATACTTGATTTTGTGACAATTTTCTGTTTTTGTTTATCTGTTTTTGTATTTTTCTTTGTGTTTTATTCTCTGTCAAAGCGTCTTTAAGTTTTTAGAAGAGCGCTATATAAGTGTCATGCATTATTATTATTATTATTATTATTATTATTAATGTAGAATTGATCATTTATACTTACACTGAAAAATGTAATAAAAGGAGAATTCAGATAAATAATAATCAGTGATGTGGATTGTGGAAGTGGTTAAAGAACAGCTAGAATAGTCTAGGAAACTGTGGAAAGTAAAATGTTTTCAAACTGAAAAAGACAACACTAACATATTACCATAACCTATGTTCTATTTTCTTTAGAGTGGACTTCTATAAAAGGCTAGAGCGGCACAACAGAAGCAGTTGTACAGTATCTGAATGTTTCTTGAATTTAATTTTTTTGAGAGAGCTCAGAGAAAAAACTCAAATCATTTACCTAGTGTACTGTAGATGTGGGGGAATAAAACGAAAGCTGAAAAAAACACTCCGGTGGGTCCGGTTGGCTGAGTTAAGTCTAATTCCAATTCTAGCCATCACAAAGCCGTGTGGACAGAGGCATTGGAAATGGAACAGCATAAGCGAGAACCATGGCAAAAAAAAATGTACGGTTCAATTGACCTTTCGCAAAGCCACGCCCCTAAATGCCCGTTGTCCAATCATATTCGATCACGTGCGCGGCTCCCTGTGGAAGTCCGACAAGCTTAGCGTTCAAATTCATTGCGAAAATGGTGAAGCGTTGTGCTTATGGTCTTTGCAAATCGGATAGCAGATATCCCATAAGCTTAGAGGGGGGGGGGTGATATTTTACCCGTTTCCTAAACCCAAAACCCGAGAGGAGAGATGCCGCCAGTGGATAAAGAAATGCGGCAGGCCCCATGCCCAGCTGAATATGGCGAATATCAACAAACACAAATACGTTTGCTCCAAGGTAAATACGTGCTAACGTAGCTAGCTAGCTAGCAAAGATTACATTCACAAATTAACTAACTAATTTAATTAACTAATTTCACTAACTAACGTTAGCTAAAGTCACACGACTACAGCTGTAAGCTGTGTGCTTCTAGGTCGTTTTGACCATGTATATCACTTGATGCATAATAATGTCTGAACAGCTGAGCTCCGTTATTAGTCTACCTGTGGTCAAAGTACAAACAAGAAAGCCAACAGGCAATCATTCATTTATATTTTGCTTTAATCTTTGTAGCATTTTGTTAATGGAAAGCCTACTGCCGACTTCCCTAATCCTGCTGCACAAGTGGGCACCCCGACCCCCACAAAGGAACAACAAGGTGGATGCAGAAAGCCACCAAGGAAACGGTAGTTAACTTTAGACA